GGAGGTAACTCTATCAAGCATTTTGACAGAATTATGCCCCTTTTTCGACTTAGAATTTACGTTAAAGTTTTTGTAATAGTTCAAATATTTTCAAAGTCCATTGACATATGGCTTTGAAACTTTGCACACTTGTTCACCATCATTACCCCAACCTGTAACAGGAGGAGGTAACTGTATCAAGCATTTTGACAGAATTATGCCCCTTTTTTGACTTAGAATTTACGTTAAAGTTTTTGTAATACTTCAAATATTTTCAAAGTCCATTGACATATGGCTTTGAAACTTTGCACACTTGTTCACCATCATTACCCCAACCTGTAACAGGAGGAGGTAACTGTATCAAGCATTTTTTTTTACTAAGCACTAAGAATAGTCGAGCGTTGCTGTCCTACCGACAGCTCTTGTTAGTCCCTACCGGTTTACCGGAGGGGACTTTAGGTTTACCGTCTGTCTGTCTGTCAGTCCGTCCGTCCACAAAACTGGATCCCGCGATAACTTGAAAAGTACTGAAAATATTTTTATGAAACTTGATATTTGGATAGATGGCAGTATGGAGATCATGCACGTCATTTTGTTTTCTTCCTATGTTGAATATTCTGGTTGCTATGGCAACAAATAGGCTTAAAATATGGCCAATTTTACACATAAACTGGATCCAGTGATAACGCAAAAAGTACTGGAAATATTTTTATGAAACTTGAAATATGGGTAGATGGCAGTCTGGAGATTATGCATGTCTTTTTTTTTCTTCCTATGTTGAAAATTCTGGTTGCTATGGCAACAAATATACTGAAAATATGGCAAATTTTACACATAAACTGGATCCTGTGTTAACGCAAAAAGTAATAAGAATATTTTTATGAAACTTGTAATATGGGTAGATGGCAGTCTGGAGATTATGCACGTCTTTTTCTTTTCTTCCTATGTTGAAAATTCTGGTTGCTATGGCAACACATAGACTGAAAATATGGCAAATTTTACACATACACTGAATCCAGTGATAACTCAAAAAGTACTGGAAATATTTTTATGAAACTATAAATATGGGTAGATGGCAGTCTTGAGATTATGCATGTCTTATCTGTTCTCCCTATTTTGAAAAAATATTGGTTGCCTTGGCAACAAATAGGCTTAAAACATGGCAAATATAACATTATTTGTGATTAGTCAAAAAGAGCTAAAATTTTTTTATGAAATTGCATCTTTAATTCAAGAGTTATCTCCTCTTTAAGAATTTTGCTTTTAAAAATGTTTTATTTTGGTAACAGGGATGTTTCAAATATTAACTTTAGAGTGTCCTTCAGTCCGTCTGTCTGTCTATTCATAAAAACTGTTTCCTGTGATCACTTTTAAAGAATTTTTCCAACTAATTTACTTAAAATATAGAAAAATTGAAACATTAGTGAATGGCCAATGGCCCATCAGAATGTTGATGGGGTTCTAACCGGTAGGGGACTTATGGATTGCTTGCAATACTATGATAATTGCTTGTTGCTTTAGTCATACATACATGTATAAATATGATGATAAATACTGAAAAATAAGTCATTAATCACACAAAACTTATTAATTATTACATGAACCATGAATTGTTTTACTTTTCTTAAAGTTTTAAAACATTTTTGTCAAGTTTAAGTTCCTTGAAATTTTTTTCTAATCTGGAGGCATAAAGCTTTAAATTTGGTCTTAAAATTGAGCCTAACAGTGTTGTTTTTTTTGTTTAATCTGAGTTCAAGCTATCAGATATTTTAAGTTAAAATGTTAAGTAATTAATTAACATAAATTCCACAATTATATACTGGTGAAAGAATAGGTACTAGGGAAATTTGCATTTTGAAGGAAATAAAAAGTGACCCTTTTAAACTTCAACCTTAATTACTTTGTACTTTAGTAGTTCAGTATCATAAAAACATTCAGTAAATAAATTAAACGTGATGACAGGCACCTTTTGAATTAAATTATGATTGCCACCAGAATGAATAGTTAAAATATCTGTAAAATCCCCATTGTGGCTGAGGGGTTGCCTTAAAAAGTTAAACATTTCAGTCAACGTTTATTCCTGACAGATCATGAAAGACGCGACTAAATAGACTTGAATTACTGGAGTCCTAAAATGCATCTCTTAGCTCATGCGGATGAGGTGATTTTGACCTCTGATGTTGATTTAAGTTTGTAACACCCGAGGTTAGCCGAAATCACCTTTCCTGTTTCAATGGCAATAATAAGCTAAATTGTATTGATGCACTGCTGTAAAACCAATAAAACATACAAACAAAGATGCTTTGATGTTTGTAGATAATTCTTCTGATTATGAAACTGTTTTGCTATACCATTCAGTCTTGGTAATACTCAGTATACCCATAACCCAACAGTTACATCTTGGTTAAACCATTCATTGCTGTATCCTATTACACCAGTCATTTTGTATTAACTAGTGCCTACACTCTCCTCCTTTTATACAAAAAAATACATGACATGATTTGTTCATAGTGGCAAAAAAATAGTATATTATGTTTTAATTTGAGAAAAAAAGTAACAAAAAAAACCCTAAAATAAACAAAATCAAGAGCACAACACATAAGAACTCAAGATGTGGAACTATGCAAACTCAAATTTATCCTATTTATGGATGCTCAATTGCCAAATAATGGAACACATTGATCTGACATCACAGGAGACTATAAGTGAATAAGTCTGTTATCATTTATATTAATTATTAATGGTTTATATTAATTTTTAATACAATACTATTATGCAATTACATACTAAAGTATATGTATATACAGCAGATATCAATCAGCCATGGGAGTAATTGATAATTATAAAAATATTTTTATTTTTCTCTGACCTTTGGTTGCAACATTTTCAGACTAACATGACACAGATAAAAAATTTTTTTATCTGGTTTATTGTCAGCTTCAGTTTATTGTCTGCTTCATGGTTGCTTTAAATTGGTCTAGATGAATTAATGTACCCCAAAATTAACATCTTTAGGTTCCAAGTTCAAAGCCAGATCAACCATAGAACTGATGTCTTGGAATAGTAATGGGGAAAATTTACAAGGAGTGCTATATGTTTAAGAGATAGTGTATGCAACTGTTCAAGCTTTATTTAAAGTCTTTAATATATATATATATAGATATGTAGTATTTATATATATTGTAAATAGGAAATTACTTTGAATAATTAAAGGACTTTTGTCGGATGAAATTGCTTACCAATTAATAGACAGGAAAGACAAACTCACTACAGATTTTATCTGAGCTTTAAGTCAAATGACTGTGTGAGAGTGTACTACATTGTATGTTCATGGCCAGATATACATTTTAAATTATAATATTATTTGTTTCCAGGGACTTTTGTCATTGACTGGGGTTGTCATTAAATGTTTTCTGGGATGGTCTATTTTGAATTTGAAGCATCAGATTTTGTTTTATTAAATGTAGAAACCAGAGTGTTTTCAAATTCTTATGGTGGCTCAAAATGCATTTGAAATTGGTATTTTGGCCTTAATTGGTTACATGTACTTATGACAAGCCCCTGCTTTCCTAGCTGTTTCTGTGGTCCATCATTCGTACATTGTATACAGTACGTGAAATTATAAATGCGGTAATGTGAAGGTAGCAGCTGCCTGAATTATTGCCTATTGACTAACAGTGGCTTTAATATTATGCCATATTGCACAAATAAAGTGAGCATGGATTTTTCAGATGGAAAACTAAAATGTTGCCCAATGACCTCTGGATCACAGGTTTTAATCATTTAAGAGCCATTGTACAAACATTACACTTAAAATTTTATGTGATGAAATTAGAGCCTGCAGGACTGGTGAGTTTAAGCAAGAGGCCCAAATGAGGAATGGCATAATGTGACTTCTGGAAGTGACAGAGTGTGGCTTATAAATATTAAGAAACTATATTAAGAATTAATGATTGTTGCCAGAAACAAACAATATTTTAATATTTATCAACCAATTCTTGGCCATTGTGATGTACAATGTGAATGGTATAATGTACACTGTATATATTATAAGTAGATAAGTGAGAGGTAGGTGTTTGATAGGGTCATCACAGCACTTAATATCATTTCCGCCTCTAATCGTCACTGTATCTTTATGTGTACATGTACAGATCATATTGTTCTGAGGACTTGACTTCCACTTTCTTAGTATTGGCCTTGAACAGACTATTAATTATCGCCACCTAAGCCCTTGTAGTGCACTAGCGTGTTAACTCTAGTATTTAATCTCTTACTGCACTAAGGTGACAATATAATGTTATCTATGTTATCTGGTAAAAAATTCTATTTTGCTGTTGAAAAAGATATGTTCAATTAGTTCATATAAAATTATAGTTTAGATTATTCTAAAACTTACTGTAAAGTAAACCTGTCTGTAGATTAGATTAGCAAAGTAAATATTTTGTTAAGTGCACTCACATTTCTTATATCAGTAAGATTGAATTTAAAATTCCATGCCAAGATTATCTTGAGATAACTGTTTTTTGTTGTTGTTCTTTTTTTCTTTGTAAAATCCAATTCAGTCCAAAATGTATTCTTTATGAGTTCAGCTGCTTGTTGTTAGGATAGTCAAAATGTGTTGACTTGCAACACCTAGATTCAGAGATACTTTTGCTGAGGGTCAGAAATTATCTCCCTTTTAGAGGGGAGTACATGGAGAATAAATTTTGGACAGAATGGGCGACCAGAGTTCCATTCACAGGGCGGCAGGCCACTTTCGTTTCCTTTCTATGGTCGTTTGCACTCAGTACCTCTGCTCTGGCATGTACAGAAGTTATCAGTTCCTTGAGAAATTGAGATAAACTGCTTGACAGCCTGCACAGAAACAATTGAACGACTATACCATGCTCTGAACTAAACTAAACTACCAGCACTCAGTGCTGAGATTAAAATAAATTATAACTGGTGTTTTAAAATTTTAGAAACCATCAATTATGACTTGATGACTTCACATTATAGTCATTTATGTTTGTATATTTCAGATCTGGCAAAGGCTCAGAAACAGTTTTCCAACAGTTTAATGGATTTTAATTTTGAATGTATTGGACAGCAACAGACAGACGATGAAAGATTAATTTGTAAGTTAAAAATATTTCTGAACCGATATTTGGTTACATATTCTACACAATTAATTGCATTGGTATGTACTTATAATAATATTTTGGATTATAATTTAAGGTCACCCATTTTTAGCTCGACTTAACGAAGTATATGGAGAGCTGTCCCTCTCGCCCCGGCGTCCGCATCCAGATTTCAGATAAAAGTTTTGGTGCAGTAAAATATTTTTTACTATAAATTTTTCATTTCTTAAGGTATCAACTTCAAATATATGTTCCTAATATCATCAACCACATCTAATGTGACAAGGTTCATAACTCTAGCACCAATATTTTCAGATTTATCTTCCTTTGAACTTAGAATTTTCCTAAAAAATATTATATTTTTACTGTTGCCTCTTTTTTTTGAAGCGATCAACTTAATACCTTCAATATAATTATGTTCCTTATCATCAACCACATCTTATGTGACAAGGTTCATAACTCTAGCACCAAGAATTATCTCCCCATTAACTTAGATATTTTTTACTTGAAAAATGTTATTTTTTACTATAACTTCTTTAGTTTTAAAGGTATCTACTTCAAAGTTCAAATACGCATTCTTTATTATCAACCAGATCTTATGTGACAAGGTTCATAACTCTTGAAGCAATATTTTCAGATTTATCTCCCTTTGAACTTAAAATTTTCTATTTAATTAGTGGAGCTTCGCTGTCTCCTTTGACAGCTCTTGTTATGTAAGTTATTCATCTTAGAAATTGTGATCTGACAACAGCCCTCCTTGACAGAAGCAGTGTTTTCAAGTGACAACTTGTTAAGAGTCGAGTGCAAATCTAAAAGTTTATCAGTTATTAGTCACTTTATAATAATAGTAAAGGAAGAAATGAACTAGGTTAAACAACATGTCAACTACATTGTAATAGGTTAAATTAATATTAATGTACTATTTTCTATCATGATCTGCAATGATCTTCACAAGGAAAATAAGAAATGTTAAGTTGAAGGGCCGGTTAATGCTATTTTTGAGAACTTTCATTAATTATGCTAATCCAATATACTGCATGACTAACAAAGAAACACAGGTACAATATTTTTTGACCACATTTCCGTACCTCAATAATACGGTATTTTCATCGATTTTTTTTTTTTTTTTTTTTTTTTAGGACTAGAAAAAAACGGTAGGGTCGGCGTATATTATTAGGTAGGGTCGGGTGACCCGATCCAAAAAAAATTTTTTTTTTAGGCCCAATGAAGACAGTCATTATGCCATATAATATATTATTCAACCAGGAGTGATGTGTGAATTAAACTCAGTTATTGTGAAAATCAGCTAAATTTTGTATTCTTTGTAGAGGGTTGTAATAGAATGCGAAATGGACTCCATTTCGCGAAATGAACTTACCGCCTACGAAATGGACATTTGTTTGTTTAACCATGATGAGTAATATTATTTTTTATTAATTTATGTTTAACATATGACATAAAACTACAGATTGAACCAGTTAAAATTACTATTTTCCTATTTTATAGTCATATTTCTGAAAATAATCTGGCCTCTACGAAATGGAGTTTTCGGCCACGAAATGGAGTTTTTGCTTACGGAATGGACATTTGCTTTACAAATTATGGTGTAACTGACATGTCACAAAGGGTATCTTTTCTATTCACTTACGTTTATTCTGGGACGACAAAAATATTTTTGTCCCAGGTTAAACATATGATATAATATAAAACAGAATCTTTCTATTTGAAAGACCATGTATAAAACACTGAACTATGTGGCATTATTATACGATTATTTTCAAATGTAAAAGCATAAATAATGAAAAAAATATTAACAAAATTGTTTAAATCGTAATTATATGTCATATATCACTTGTTCATTATTAAAAATGATATTAAATAGTACACTTAAACCAAAATTAAAGAGACAAATGTCCATTTCGTAGTCGAAAAGTTCATTTCGCGAAATGGAGTCCATTTCGCATTCTATTACTACCGCTTTGTAGATATATCTTGGCATTTTAATTTCTCAGCTGGAAAAATAAAGCTTTAAAAATAGAAAGCGAGCCGAGTGCAATGCTATTATATTAAAAGTTCAATGGAAAATCTCTTCTAATTCTGGCATCGTTCTAATCGTCTTGCATTTTCTTCGATACCTGTTTTTTTGCATTTTCATGCTGTATTCACTGAAAATAGACAGCTCAAGCTGTGCATAGTGAAACTTGAATGCACATTAAAACTGTATAAAGATAACGCCTGAAAGAATAATGCATGCTGGGATATTAATCACATATCTTACGTACAGCATTGTCGGAAATAAATTCAAAATTTTACACTAACTGATAAAGACTGAGATGTAGTAAGCATTTTCATAAAATACAAATATATTTCCCATTTCTGTAAAGTTTCTCTTTGATTCAGATTTTTTTTATCAATCAGTGTGATGTTAATGCATTTAGATAAGAAAAGAAAGTGAAAGTTTAAAAGAATGATACTGTAAATAAGGATTCTGAAAGGTGTTCTTTGTAATTGTCTTTCTTTTTTCTCTCTAGTTGTTACTGGTGGTAGGCTGAGTGTTTGTTCTGACAGGTTTAAGTGTCTGTTGAAATGTGTTACTGTAAATTGTTTGAGTCTGTTTGCCAGATGTCAGATTTTAGCAGAAAATGTAATTATTTATTTGAACTTTTTAGAAAAAAAAAAAATTTTTTCTGTGTGGCTTAAATTTTATGTTGTTTTAAAATTTTATTTACCAGTACATCACAATATTGTAAAGAAGAACATTTTTCTGTACTATAGTTAATATGAACTCGAATGATATTTGAAAATGAAATTAAATGTAAATATATTTTCTCCTTTATTTAATGCAACTTTTAACAAAGACTTAAAGAGTCCTGCCTGTGCCACAAGTTCCTTTTTTTGTCTGCATAAATCAGGGGCTTAATGTATGGGGTTAATAATGATTTGTACATTTACTGACAAAACTGTTAAGATTTCCATTTTCTAAAAAAAAAAAGAAAAAAAAAAATTTTTTAAATTTTCACAATTCTTTTATGGCTGCATAATAAATGTACCTGACCAAAATTTTAATTTTAAAAGCAAGGAATGTTGCAAAAAAATAAAAGAAAATCACAATTGTGAGAAAAAAAATGCACGGGAATTTAATTATACCCCGACCAGCAGTGTATAGAATATGCTCAGAAAATTTATAGGTGTATTAAATTATGCAATAGGTAAAAAGAGAATTAAAATTCAAGTTTTGATGAAATATACCATTAAGTTTGAATTGTAATACAACAATGCAATTGATAACTTATAAAATGTTCAAAATACCTTAAAATGCATCATAAAGATAAGGATAATTGCATGATAATAATATTTTTAGTAGAATTCTAACGTTATTAAGATTTACTTTATCAGTCTTATTATCATAAATCTTTGGCAATGAAGATGTAACAAATACAGAGGAATGAAATTGAGAAACATTTTAATATATGTGTTGCATTTTAGCTCACAGCTTACTTATATACAGTGAACTTAAAATTCTTAAATCGATAAAAAATTAAAAGCAGTTCTTAGGGTTGTTTACATGTAAATAACTTGTAAATTTAGATTTACCCAGCAAGATTTGTGATAAATAGTCTGGAAGGTGTTTTCTCTGTTAATTTTATAGATTTCAGTTTTAAAATGCTGAAATAGTTTTGAAACAATTAAAGCTAGTCATTTAGTTTCGGAGGAGAAGAGTAAATAGTATGAACTCAGGTTCAATCTTACTCCATTTAGTATCCACCAGTACAGTGAGTCAGGTCTGAGCTGAAATGATTGAATAAACTTTTTACTGTATGGAGTCAGGTCCGATAAAAAATACTTGATTGAGTAGCCATCTGTATAGAGTCAGGCCAGAAATTACAAGATTGACTAACCCAGCCACAAATACAGTACGTTTTAGGTACAATAGAAAAACCTATAAAGCCCCACAATATAGTATCAATAGGGTACCTGCTTCTAGTGTACTTTATTTTATGGAGCAAAATTTAACATTCACTCAAACAGGGGGAAGTACACTTAAATTGCAAGTCAGAAGGGGATTAAGTTACGACCATTATTTAAAAATACAGATTCAGTTTAAAAGCTACTCAATTGAGAAGCCATTATAGTAAGAAGTCTAGTTAGAAATCGGATATGTGTTTAAATGACCAAGAATTTACTTCGGGTAGTAAGGAATCAATCAGGTCAGATAGCGTGGTAGAGGAATATATTATAATGATATATTGTTGTTGAAAATAAACTTTCATGTATTAATTTTATATCTCTGGAGAAGATATTTTACTATTAATATTTCAGACCATACATTCTGTTGCTCTAGTGATAACTTGTATAATTGCCTTGCTGGAAGTGGATAAATATCCCTGGGAATGCCAAGCTTTACTTAACCCCAGTGATTTCTTGATTAAATCTTTTGAAAATCCATTTTATCAGATTATTGTAAGCAGATAATAAACATCATAGAGCTTCGAAAACTTGAGAAAAAAATATATATATCGGTCAATGTTTGATAATCTGAAATGGTTTGGAACTGTTCAAACAACACAGATAACAGAAATATGGATGGTGCTTTTGAGACTTCACAGGTTGTGAAGTATTCTAAGACTTGTTTGTGTTATAGGAAAATATTTAGAAGAGATTTTCGAAGAATTTTCATGAATTTTGTTTTTCCAATAACCAGCACAGCTAGACTAAAACTGTTGGACTTTGCCAAGTTTTATTTTGACTAGATTTTGAGATGTGATGCTATTAAAGCTGTATTCTTTCTGAATAACAATGGAGGTCAGAGTTGGCCTCATGGTTATTTATAGTGTCCCCCTCCGTCTCAACCGAGGAATCATTGGTTTGAGCCGTAAGAGCACATCAAGCATTAGAAGACGTAGGAGTGGCTTAAATAAGTCACATAATATGATTCCTTTGAAATCAAACTATATTTAAGAAATAATATCAGTCTTTAAAGCGGTGTTTATCGGCTA